TCGAGCGTTGCGATCGCGAATATTATTTTTTTAAAAAAATGGTTTTAAAAATCGTTTGCAAAATACTTATTATACTAGTGGGAAAAATTCATTAAGTTTAAAGCTTTGTTCATAAAGTTTAAGACTAAAAAGTATTTTGCTGTTTGTCTTTTAGGTAAGCATTTCAATAAAATATATTTTAAATTGAATTACAAAAAGTCATGTTTATTAATATATCTCGAATTTTTAACTTAATATAATAATGTTAACTTTATAAAATTTGAGTATAAAAAAGGAAATCATGTTCGAATTATATGCTACGAAAAGTATAACTTGAAGAGAATCGTTTATAAACAAGTTTCTTCACTTTTTCAAATAATTTTTGAATTTTTTTCGATCGATTTGCTTTTAAGTCGAGAAAGAAAATCGTATTAGTATTAGTTTTCTTCTTGTGCTATTTTAACATAAAATTTCAAAGGAAAAAAAAAACTTTTAAAAAATAAACACTAAAAAAATAAACTTTCTTGAAAAAATTTAATATTAAATGCAGAGTTAAGTGGAAGAACCGGCGAGGAAGAATATCGAGAATCTTTAAAATGTTTGCGCACGCATTTATAAATAAAGCATTAAATAAAATAACATCATTTCGAATATGAAGTAATAAATTCGAAATGATAAAGACGCTTATAGATATTTTACAACTTCTTCTATTAGTCCCTTGTCTATCGTTTTTTTAAATTTTTTTTAAACCTATTAGGTGCATTTTCAAAATTATTACTGCGAAACATTTTAAAATTTTCTAAAATACTATTTGATACCAATTAAAGCAACAAATGCAAATTGTTGCAAACTTTTTTTTTCCCAATGAGCTGCACAATCGGTCTTGCCGATAAGCAGACCTAGTGCATTCTCTAGTGATGGTATCCACTCTTTCAGGACCACCACAATGGGTGAGATACCATTGGTCATGTTAATTTGGACGTCTAGTTTCTGCCACACTAGATGGCAGCACCGAGACTCTATTTGGATGCTAAAGTGCACTAGGAATTTAATTTTGCCGGAAATGCCAAGAGCCAATAAGGCACTCCAGGGATCTTTTACATGCCGCATAATCATACGACATGGCCGCTGAGGATTTTCTGCATCCCGAAAATCCGGTGTCTGGATCGAACCCGCAGACTTGGGCTCAGAAGGCCGACGACATACCAACTGCGCCACCCAGCCACATTGTTGCAAACTTATAAGTATTAAAAATTTTATTTTATCCCCGGCGTTGAACAGCAGAGACGATTCTGAGTTTGCAACTACCAATGTTCAATTCCGTAGCCTTGTAATTTTGAACCCAACCCAGAAAACGAGGATCAAGCAGAGGGACTTTCTGATGCAGCTAACCCGCATTGGCGTTACATGTAGTATGAAACCACAATATCCTCCTAAGGTCAGCCTAACGTCAAGGGGATTCCCGACCTTTATTCAATGAGGATATTTTGTCACCATTGGAGTCGGTGCTAGAAGGGAGCAAAAATCGTATCAACCAGCCACCGCTGGGATTCAAACTTGGGTCTCTCACTGGTGGGTGAACGTTCTATCCCCTAAGCCGAACAGCCTGAGTTAACAGCCGACCCAATTTTGGGGTTTACGACTTCTAATGTTCAACTCCGCAGCTTTGTAATTTTGAACCCAATCCATAAGACAAGGGAACTCCTGGATCAAGTATTGGGAGAAATTTTGCCTTCGTGGGGGACTTTTTGATGGAACTAACCCGTATTTGCGTCACATGGAGATGAAGATCAAGAGAACCTCCCACGGATAGCCTGACGGCAAATGGCTCTAACCCATAATCCGTCTACCACTGAGGATATTTCAATGTCAGCACTGTGGTCGATGCAAGCCGGATGCGGATTCGTATCGACCAGCCATAGCTGGGATTCGAACCCGGTTCAACTCATTGGAATGTGAACGCTCTATCCCCTAAGCCATCACAGCTCAGACTTATAGGTATGTAACATTAAAGAATATTGAGACAACTATAATTAAATTAAAAAAATAAATTTGTAATAATACGAAAAATTTAAAAAAAACAAAGTATCGCAAATTGTTCCAGTTTTAAAATTTAATTACTTTGAATAAACTTAAGAATTAAATTATTTTTGGTGCCCATTTTTGATCTACCAGTTCATCACTCCCTTCCTACCATTAATCTCTGCGAAAGTTAAAATGATAATCAAGATAAAAAAATTTACAAGTGAGATAGTGATTTTCACTAAAATTTTCTCTTCTGTACAAGAAAAAAGTTATTCTGCTTAGTTCAACACCTTGTCTCGTACGCTAACCTCAATTAAATGAAGAAACAAATGGGAGAAACTAGTCTCAATCCTGCAGGATGATGACAGATAACCTTCGAAAGATATATTGTTCCTTCCTTCTATCCCAAAGATTTATTTATAGTTAATAGTAATTTAACTATTATTAACAGAAGAATAAAACTATATGATTTCTAGGAAATCATGTGTTTCGAATCCTAATATTTTAATTAAGTCACGGTAAACGATTAAATGATATTACCACCAAATTAATTCTGGAACAAAAACTCCCTGAAATAAAATTGTAAATTAAGAATTACACATTCGTATGGATAAGTGGTCTGCGTTGGTGAGGCCTGTTATTTTTTTAACTGTTTCGAATCCTTCGTAAAAGCCTTAAAAAAATTAAAATTGACTAATTTTGTTTAAAAACTCAGTTCTTTTTAAAAGTTTGAAATTACGTAACTAATTATGATGTAATATTTTTCAGTTTTATAATTAATTTCTATAAATATTATTGTAAGGAATTTTTAATGAAAAAAAATATCAAATAAACGTTATGTTATATTATTTTCATGGAATTTTTTGTGAGTCACAAAGATTCTGTATTTGTGAGCAAAGAAAGGTTGGAAGTTGATAAAAGTGTATATATATATATATATATATATATATTAATATTTNAACAATTTACGGTATTAAATTTCGTTATTAGGGTACCCTTCCCGTAAACGGACAACTCTCATAAACGGACAAATTTTTTGGTCCCATGAATGTCCGTTTAACGGAGGTTTCACTGTATATATATATATATATATATATATATGTATCAGAATTTTCTTTAAACATTTCTCTAGAAAGTGTACAATTCCATTATCGTTTCATGCAGTAGTTTTTGAGTTATAAGACATTTAGACATAAGACAAGAACGCTCTGCTTAAATTTCCTGAAACAGCGGTGATGGTTGCATTAACTTTCTTTTAATACAAAGAGGAAGCTTTGATTCCTTTGAAAACATTTTGATTTAGAATTACTCAATTCCATACTTTGACATTAATATCATTGATTAGCCAATTATAATCAAATACAGATCAATCTTACTTTGAATTAAATGAAGTTATGATTAATGAAATTAATCTTACTTTGAAGACCTGAAACATTTTTGTGAACATTTTTTATCCCTTTAAAAATATTTTACTTTTTACTCCATAACTTAAACTAAAAATCTTCTTTTTTCTGTAAGCGTAATTTCTTCGCACTGAATCATTTGGATGTGCATTCTAGTTGCAAGTCAACCTGTTGTTTTCGTTTAAAAAGAAAAATGTTTTTTTAAAAGAAAAATTAAAATAATTTTTTATAACATAAATAAAAAAAGAAGATATTTTCTTCTTTTTTTAATACCCAAATCCAAAAAAATAAAATTAATATTATCATCATGATTACGAAGTAAGATTAATTAATTCCTCGGGTAAACATTATTAAACATAACTGTATAATCTTGAAAATTAAAGATAATTAGATCATCAAAAAACCTAAAAACAATTTTAATATTAAGAGTGTAATTTTTTTCATAATAGTGCAAAAATAAATTAGCTTAGAGAGATGAAGAATTAGAACCTTGCGTTATTCCATCAATTTTAATAAAAATATCTTTCCCACTGTAACATAATTCTATTGTGCATAATTATTGCTCATAATTATTCCATTGTACAAAATTATTGTTAGCTTTGTCTATGGGGGTAATTACACATTTTTTAAAGTAGTTGCTTAATTGATTGATCAATACTAGAAAAATTTGCTGAATCGTTACTGTTAGTTAATTTCCCTTATTATTGAAAACAAAGTTTTTAAAGTAATAATAATTAGCCCATTTACATTCTGTTTACATACCTAAAGGTAAAGAGAATCTATTTTGATATCGTTAAACAAAAATTAGTGTGATCATTGAAAAAGTATTTTAGAATTTTATTAATTTATATATGGTAAATGGGTCTAAATTTTGTACCTTTTATCATTAAATCCCCAAGTTTTAAGTTTCCTATAATATTTAAATTATCAGTAATAATATGTTAATTATCAGTAATAATGCTAATTTTAATTTTTAACCTCTTATATAAAGCAAAAAAATTTTTAATGATAATATTATTCTTTTAATTTATAAGCTTAAAATTTTGATTATTTTTTAACTCCTTATTTAAAAGTTCAAAGCAGAATTTTTACAGAAGTTTACATAATTATTGTTAGCTTTGTCTATGGGGTAATTACAGATTTTTTTTGTAGTTACTTAATTGATCGATCAATTGTAGAAAAATTTGCTGAATTATTATTGTTATTTAAATTTTCCTTATTATTGAAAACAAAGTTTTTAAAGTAATAATAAACNTCCAATCCTATTACAGTGTAAACCATTTCACAATCTAATGCGTAGACTCCACGAAGCTGGTGTGCAAGGCGCTTTTCACCAGTGCTTTTGATCTCCGGTTTGAGCAGTGGATCTCCACAAATATGTAACGGATACACTTTGCATCCAATCGAAGAAGCGTGTCTTTTACAGCACTTGAAGATGGAATAAGAGCCAGGACATTTAATTACTTTCTCTGGATGGTAGTAACATTTTTCGTTCACAGTGTATTTTCCCTCTGGTGTGACCTCAAATCTTTTTCGGCACCTATAGCATTTCCTAACAACTGTTCCATGTTCGGATATCTTGGCTCCCTTAGTCAGCTCGTGGGTGAGTTTGTTAAAATACTTCGAGTCCATTAGATATTTACCGAGATAGGTATATATCTTCCCCTTGGGCAGATTCAAGTCTCCAAACTCCTTGAGGGTTGATGTTGCTACGCTTCGATCTAAAAGATTCAAAAATGAAACTTTCATTAATAAATCATAGCTATACAGAACAACTATCGAACAAACAGAATAATTCGGTACAATAGAAAAAAAATCTAACAAATGGAAAAACTTTGTAGATAAAGAAATTAAATTTTGCTTAAAAGAGAAATTGAAAACTACGTTAGCAGCGTTGACGCCAGTACAATATGTGCCACTTAAATAAAGCCAGATTACTCTCGTGCTATAGTTTAACGTAAAGGAAACCAATGTGAAACCAATATGTTTGTTAAGAAAGTGGATAGTCTAACACATATTTACAGGGAGCATTCAGTCCTTATTCTATCTGGATAGGAAACGAGGATAAAAAAAATTCTGCCATCAGGATCTGGGTATTTAGCAATACCGGGGATACAATGCATCAATATTATGCCGATTTCAATGATGATAGCCCTCAATTCAGCCCCAGACTGAAACTACCCTTTTTGGTATACACAACCCTTCTGAGGATAGCCCACACCCCAAAGTTTTCTTGGGGATTGAACTTAAGTAAAAGAATAAGTATGTCATTGATCATACTCAACCTGTTATACAACACCCACCACTCAGAAAGTTTTAAGCCGTAAATTAAGACATTTTCCTGCTGGAAAATTTTGGCTAAAAACATCAATTCTCCAACAAATGGCAGTGACAGGGTTTTTAGCATTTTTTTGATAATTAATAGCCTCTAGACAGTATGAGGGAGAGTCCATCTTTCTGTATATTGGAGAAGAATGAATGAAGTCGAACCTGCGAAATCGAATTTTTAACATTGAAAATTAAATTTATCAGGAAATATTAGACCATTAAGTTTGAATCCCAGTACATGAAAGTTTGATCATTAAATCAAAAGTTATTACGATTGATTTTTCTGCGTATTGTTTACATAGGTATATACTAAAAGAATTCTACCTTTTTGCTCTTCTGACATTGCTATCTAGAAAATAATGTATTGCATCTTATGCACTTCTTACTCTGTTTTGTCTGAGACCAATCACGGTTTTATAGGAAATTGCTAGGGATTGCTGTTTAAATTTTATTGTAAGAAGTCATTATTATTAAAAGAAGTTACTATTGATATCATGAAAATTATAATAATAGGAAAAATCTTTTCAGTAAACGCCATTATATAAACCNAAGTTTTAAGCCGTAAATTAAGACATTTTTCAGCTGGAAAATTTTGGCTAAAAACATCAATTCTCCAACAAATGGCAGTGAAAGGATTTCTAGTATTCTTTGCTTAATTAATAGCCTCTAGACAGTATGAGGGAGAGTTCATCTTTCTGTATAAGGGAGAAGAATGAATGAAGTCGAACCTGCGAAATCAAATTTTTAACATTAAAAATTAAATTTATCAGGAAATATTTGACCGATTTTGTTTAAATTTTGCTTTATAATATTTTAAATAACTTTCTGTAAAGTGGTGAAAGAATTTTTCAATTCCTTAAAATTCAAATTTTCTTCGATTTTAATTGAATAAAATTATAAATAATTAATAAAAATTATTTTATATATGGAATTATTTTGTATAAACAAATTTTATATTTGCATGCAAAAGATGATAATTCGCTTTAAAAGGCCTCTTTGGATAAATAAGCAAAAAATAAAATCCAAATCCGCTGAAGGAAAGGTATGTTCATTCAAGGAAAGTATACGATTTTGTACCTGCTGTTTTCGTAACTTAATTGCTGATTTCGTAGCTTAAAATACTGTTCGCATAAATAATTTAGCATTTTTAAATTACCCAACTGAACCATTAAGTTTGAATCCCAGTACATGAAAATTTGATCATTAAATCAAAAGTTATTACGATTGATTTTTCTGCGTATTGTTTACATAGGTATATACTAAAAGTATTCTACCTTTTTGCTCTTCTGACATTGCCATCTAGAAAATAATGTATTGCATCTTATGCACTTCTTACTCTGTTTTGTCTGAGACCAATCACGGTTTTATAGGAAATTGCAAGGGATTGCTGTTTAAATTTTATTGTAAGAAGTCATTATTATTAAAAGAAGTTACTGTTGCCACGAAAATTATAATAATAAGAAAAATGTTTTGAGTAAACGCCATTATGGAAACTAAGAAAATCTTATTCCATCCCATTAGTTCATCAATTCAAAAATGCTTTGTAGAGTGCACAAAATAAATAAATAAATAAAAATAAAAACCGGAAAACGTTGAATACATGCGATTTCACATACCGAGACTCAGTCTTAGTGTTTTGAGAGTCTCGTTTTAAATATGCTATTTAATTAGTGTAGACGATAATTTAAATTACGCAGTCAGACACGTTCTTTCTCTGAATAAAAAAGCCTTTTTTTTTTCTCTCAACGGATTGGATTTTTGATCCTCCAAATAGGGAGTTAACCATAATCTGGTAAATATGGTCCTAATAATTTAGACAGGAGAACGTTAAAAAGTTTTGCCCTTTAATATTAATTTTACAAATTTTCAGAAAATTAGGTTATATGTAGTGCATTTTATAAACATAGCTATTACATGCATGATGGTTTTTAGAATCTCGAAAATTGTGCACCTTTTCACGTAACTTACGCTGGAAGCTTTCCTTATCAACCAAATCAGTTTCCGTCAGTATAAACAAAACTGGATTCACAATGTGAAAAAAAAATTAAAAGGAGAAAAATGTTTTGAGTAAACGCCATTATGAAAACTAAAAAAATCTTATTCCATCCCATTAGTTCATCAATTCAAAAATGCTTTGTAGTGTGCACAAAATAAATAAATAAAAATAAAAAACGGAAAACGTTGAATACATGTGATTTCACATACCGAGACTCAGTGTTAATGTTTTGAGAGTCTCGCTTTAAATATGCTATTTAATTAGTGTAGACGATAATTTAAATTACGCAGTCAGACACGTTCTTTCTCTGAATAAAAAATGCCTTTTTTTTTCTCTCAACGGATTGGATTTTTGATCCTCCAAATAGGGAGTTAACCACAATCTGGTAAATATGGTCCCAATAATTTAGACAGGAGAACGTTGAAAAGTTTTGCCCTTTAATATTAATTTTGCAAATTTTCAGAAAATTAGTTTATCTGTAGTGCATTTTATAAACATAGCTATTACATGCATGATGGTTTTTAGAATCTCGAAAATTGTGCACCTTTTCACGTAACTTACGTTCAAAGCTTTCCTTATCAACCAAATCAGTTTCCGTCAGTATAAACAAAACTGAATTCACAATGTGAAAAAAAAATTAAAAGGGGAAAAAAACTTATAATAACTTTAAATCTAAAGATTGCATTTTCACGTACTAGGAATCAACTTTTATAAATCTAGGACGAAAATGGATATTCTCTGAATAAATGTACCATTTTCCTTAAGCGGATTTTGAATATTGACCTTCAAAATATGGCGGAAGGTAGCCTCAATCTGGAAAATACGGTCCCTTTAGTTTAAGTAGTGTAGTTGAAAAGTAGGCATCTTAATTGTATTTTCTTTTTGCGTAACTGAAAGAATTCTACTTTTCACTTTTTAAGAGCTATTCGACTGATTCCCTTCAATTTCTGGATTAACTCATTTAAAATTGTATTGAATAACTAAAATAATAAAAAATATCAAATAATAATTATCTTTGAATAATAAAGAAAAGATTTATAGCTGATTGGGAAAAATATATGATATTCTTCATTGGATGCGAAGATATAGCGAAATGCGCTGACACTAAGTTCGATATCAAGGAGCTCAAACTTTTAGCCACTCTAACTATTGAAACTATACTTTCCAGATAACGGCCTCAAAAGTCAAGATTCCAAAAATGTATTCCTTAATCGTTATTGCGTCTGATGTCAAGGTTTAAAATATCGTGTGCATATATCAATTAGCTTTTTGAGATTATATCTTTGAACTGTTAAGATTAAAGATTTAGTACNACTATTGAAACTATACTTTCCAGATAACGACTTAAAAAGTCAAGATTCCAAAAATGCATTCCTTAAAAAGTTCGTTATTGCGTCAGATGTCAAGGTTTAAAATATCGTGTGCATATATAAATTAGCTTTTTGAGATTATATCTTTGAACTGTTAAGATTAAAGATTTAGTACAAGAAAACTAATCATTAAATCAAAAGATAAAAGAGGAGTTAACTTTTTAGTATACTGTCAAGTTAAAAAATTCTAAAAACAAACAAGTATAGAGTTTCTCCTCTTCAGAATAGCATTATGCATAATTTTATTTTTATATAAAATTTTTAAGGAAAAAAAATCGCTGAAGTTCAAACAGTTCTCAATTTTTCCCCCACCTAATCAACGAAGCCTTTATATAATTAAAGCAAAATTCATTATTTAAATAATAAAAAGCGTTAAGATCATTATTTAAAGCCAAAAGNTCTTCAGAATAGCATTTTGAATAATTTTATTATTATATAAAATTTTTGAGGAAAAAAAATCGCTGAAGTTCAGACTGTTCTCAATTTTTCCCCCACCTAATCAACGAAGCCTTTATATAATTAAAGCAAAATTCATTATTTAAATAATAAGAAGCGTTAAGATCATTATTTAAAGCCAGAAGGGCAAAACAAAACAAAACGTAATAATTTTTAAACAAATTGAAATTTTGAGAAAAAAAAATCCCCTTCAAGTTCTTAAATAAAAACGATCCTTTAAGAATGTTGAATTTCAAGCACTTATGTGAGATTTAGAGTGGGAGCCCCACGCAGTATTTTTTCGCAGCAGCAATGGCAACAAAAAATGAAAAAAAATTACAGCAGCGAAATTGCAACAGCCGTGGCAGTGTCGCTCACGATTTTTAAACATAGAGAGAAATAAAATTTCCGAAAATAATAACAATAATAAATAAAAAGATATTTTGAAATTTCAAATCTATCAAATTCAAATATCTCATAAGCAAAACTATGACAATTGAATTTTATTCTTAAGTTTTATCTTCATTTAACTGTCCCCGTGAAAGAGATATATAACATTTACACTTACTTTCTTTATTAGCTGTCATGATTCAGCTCCAACTATCTCCTGTAATCTCTAGTACGGAATTTCTGCAAAAATAAATAAATACAGAATAAGATACAAAGCAAATTTTAAATACAAGCATCCTTCAGTACATAGTAAACGAACACAAATTAACTACAAATATTAAATTATTATTACTATGCATCTATGAATTATTACTGAAATACATAGATTACTATGCATGTAATTGCTCTTAAAACACACCTGGACTCAATATTGAGTCTATGTGTACTGCTTATTTTAGCCAGAGTTAAATTCAAGGAGTTGACCATATAGACAAAATAATGGAAACACTTCTATATTAATAAATTTTTTAATATTCCTCAAGAACTACTTAAAAAATCTATCTTTTTATGACCTCCAAAGTGTTTAGATTATGCAAAATCTCATACTTATCAATGAAGTTTAATGCTTTTAAAGGCTTAAGGGGCCGACAATAAATTACAAAAAGAAGATAGTGTTTTTGATCACCCTATTCCAAAAAAATGTAGTAATAAATCTGTTGTATTTATTTTGATCATTTGATATTTGTATGTTTGATATTTTTATTATTTTGATAATTTGTAGCAATTATTTTGATTATTGTATGCAATAATTCCGTGAGTCTGGCTTAAATATTTCTGGAGATATGGGCACAAAATAATTTTTTGTCTCACTTTTTTTGTGGGTGCTAATTTTGAAAATATTCAATAAAATTAAAGAAAATTTTTAAAGCAATTTAAAATTAAATTGAAAACCATTGCTTTAAATTAAAATCAGTAAAACTTTAATAAAAATTCGTCTAAAATTGCACAAGATTTGAGCAATTAAAATAGTTCTTTAAAAGTGTTGGGAAAGAAATGAAATTTGTTTTTCTCCTTAATTTTGAAGAGAATCATATTTGGCAACAAATAAAGAAAGTTCATTTTGAATATCTTAAAAATTTCAAAAGTTTCAGGCAATTTTTTAAGTAGTGTAAGTCTTTAAAGAAAAAAACTCAAAGTGATGAGCAGTTTTC